TTTTACTACTTACATGAGTCCTTGTGCTCTCTTCTCAGAAGATAGGACGCTGGAAGGCAGAAGACACGAAAGGGAAAATATCCTGCAGTATTTGAGCAAATTTAAAAGCTTGTGGTTTTGCTTCTTAAGTGACACATTCTGAGGCTCCTTTAAAAAATCTTTCAGTGAAAGATCTTTCAATGAAATCATCTTCCTTCCAGTTGAAAAGTAGGAAAACTAGTATTTCTAGTTGTAGTGTCTAATGCCACATAAAGCTTCTTGTGTGTCTGGACGATGGTGGTCATTTTGCCACAAAGGCACTCTTATTTTAGACTTAAAAAAATTACAAAGTACTGAGATACTGGAATCTAGAGCCAGAGACATCACCTGTCCCATGAACTTAAATTTTATTTAACCATTATGTAGAGAGATCTTGTAGCATCTTTGAAAGAAAGAAGTTGACAGCATGAGCTTTCATAGACTTCAGTCTACTTCCTCAGATGCTTTAAGTCTACGCAGGCACCTGCTGCCAACTTCTTTCGTTCAGTTAGTCTCAAAGGTGCTACAAGATCTCTCTACATACTGATTCTACAGACTTAACATGGCTATATCTTTGAATTCTTTATTTAACCATGTTATTGTTGTATTCAGGAAGTATTTGGGCAAAGTTTATTTGTGCTAGTGAAGTAAAAACTATACATACAAATTATTTCAAGTTGTTTCTAGTTTATGGTGACCCTAAGGTGAGCCTATCATGGGGGTTTCTTGGCAAATTCCTTCTTCTAATCTTAAATTCTCCTGCCTCTGAGTTTAGGCCTGCTCTGCATACGGTATTTTCTGCATATAGGTTGAATAAATAGGGTGACAGAATGCAACATTATTCTTCTGCTGCTTTATTTTAATTTTGGATACTAGTAGTTCATGGTCTGTACCACAGTCTGCACCTGGTCTCATGTTTGCCACAAGAATGGAGCTTCTCCATATTCTGTTCCATATTATATAATCTGTCTGGTTTCTGTGTTGTCCATCCAGTGATATCCATGTGTACAGTCTCCTCTCTGATTAGCTGGTATCACAATTAAAATTTTTCAAGTACAATTCTTCTTCTTTGTGGTCTGTATATTACACATATGGGTTTGCCTCTGTGCAGAGACACCATTGAGAATAATTCTAAAGAATTTTACAGCATATTGTCTACCAACTAGGAACTGATGAGACTAAACAACACATATGAGTACTTTATAAAACTATTTAAATCTTTAACTTCGTACCTGAATGATCTACTGGGGAGAGGAGCCTAAAGCGGGTTCCAGCTGAGACTGGACATCCCAATAAGACCTCCTCCTCAGCCATGCCTGGGTGAAAAACCCAAGCTCTGGTGCCTCATGCCATTCTGACTGGGCACCCAGCTAACCATCAACAAGGGGGACCTTTCTAGGGAATCTGTATTCCCCCTGGCCCATGTTCTGTGACATAAAGGAAAAACATGCCCCAGGCTGGCCTCAGGGTAGTCTCATTTCTCATGCTTTAGGTCAGGGGTAGGCAACCTTTCCCCTTTAAGGGCCGAGGGACTTCAGCTCCCAGAAGCCTCAGCCATGTTGGCTAATAGCCCCATGTTGGCCAATAGCTCCTGGGATTCTGGGAGCTGAAGTCCTTCGGCCCTTAAAGGGGAAAGATTGCCTACCCCTGCTTTAGGTCCTGCAACTCACAGGAGCAAGTGTAGAGACATTCCCTTCACCCAGTCAGCACCGAAGGGTGCTCAACATTGAAAAGACATTTGTAGGATATAGCAGATTTTCACCACACTGCTTGTTGCCAGAATAATTATGATAATTTAATTGGCACTGCTAGTAATGCTGCCTTTAAATTTGCTCTCGTCTCACACCTAGATCACACCTCCCAGCCATATGTTCTGTACATATCTCTGAACTTCCAAGAGTGCACTTTTGGAGGAAGTGGACTGTAGGTCCAACAAAACTTGTCCAACAATAAATCAGTTACTTTTAGTGCCACAGGACTTTCTGTTTTTTGGTGACAACATACTAACAAGCCTACACATTTAAAAGTTCCTTTTTGAAAAACTGTTGGAATGCTACAGGCTACTGGCCTGTTGTATAAAACCCACTGTCTTCCATTCACCTTAATTTTGCCTCAGCTAAATCATTTCTGATCTTGGAAGCTTAGCAGCAACAACTCTAGTTAGGAGACCGCCAACAAAGGCCAGGTGCTATAGACTATACAGTGGGCCCTCAGTATCCACAGGGATTTGGTTCCAGGACTCCCTGCAGGTAAAAAAACCAATGCAAATGCTCCCCACTCTTCCACCCTATGTCTCATTGAAATTAATCCCAGGTAGAAGCTTCCCTTACTGCCCTGAGACTGCTTCTCAGCCTAGCTACTCTCAATCATAGGTTTTAAAAAAATAAATGTTTCTTAATTTTAATCCGACTTACAGAGAACCTATCATGGCATGTTCTTGGCACAGTTTGTTCAAAGGGGGTTTGCCCTTGCCTTCCCCTGAGAGCATGTGACTTGCCCAAGGTCAACCAGTTTGGAATCGAACTCTGGTCTCCAGAGACATAGTCCAACATTCGCACCACTATGCCACACTGGCAAAACTGGTAGGCACAACTAATTTCTCCTGCATCTTTCTTTTACCTTTTTCTAGGAAATAATGAAAAAAGTGTGCCAAGATTCTTGATCAGAAAGTGAAATTTGAGATAAAAGAACTACTAGGCCCATGTTTTCGCCTGATCAAGAAAATCATCCATCAAAAGTATTGGTGAAATATGGTGAATTGATTGTATTGGGGTAAGTGCCTTACATTAAAATGAGAATCTTTAACACTGCTGTTAATTCTGAAGGCAAAAAGATGCTTTGCTATTCTTTGCTATACTGTCTAGCAATTTGCAATGAACTCTCGCACTATGAAGGTGATTTCCAGTACCATTTTCTTCTAGCAATATGATTTAATGTTAAACAATTGCACATTAACACTGGAAGAATTGATGTTAATTAAGGCGTGTTCTTATTCTTTGTCAACTTGAGCACAATCCAGCCAAAGTTGAGTACTTTTAAGTTCTATTGATTCAGCAGGAGAGATCGAAGTGTGTGCTTAACTTTAGCACTACAATCATTGTACCTTAATTTGATTTTACGTTAAATCGTTTATTTTCAAGATAATATAGATCAACAATAGGTTATAAGGAATACACCTGTCAGCATTTCTGTTTTTGATATCTGTTCTGATAAGACATTAAGCTCACCCTTAGGGAGAGTCATTTGCAGTTTTTAATACACATGAGTTTCATGGCCTACACCAAAGCTGGTGTTTTCCTGGTGTTTTTCCATGAGTGTGTACAGCTATTAGGGATGACTGTGTGATAAGAGCAGCTCCAAGCAAGCTGGTTTCCCATGTATGTCAGAGGAAAATGTACCACTGTTTTCTCAGGAAATATTTTTCTCAGGAAATGTTTTGTGCTTTTAGTTGCCTGAAAGCTGACAGTTTGTTATAGAGAGAACCTATAGACTCAATATGGTTCAGTACTCTCCTGAGAGTTTCTGCTATCAGTAGCCCGTGTGTACACTCATCCCTCCCAATTCCAGGGGATCCGTTCCGGATCCACCCACCCCTGGCAAATTGGATATATCATGGATATTCAAGCCCCATTAGTTATAATGGTGGTGCGCTCCACGATACATGCACCATTTTGTCCCTGAGTGCTTGCTGTCCAGAAAGGACCAAAACCATATACTCCAAGTCCCCGAACAGGGAGAGATGAGTGTACTGTGTCTTTCACAAAAGATCCATTTGTTCTGTTCTCTTGACAATGAGAATATCAGGCAAAGGGCAAGGAATAGATTCCCTAAGAGTATTATATAGTAAGGGAAGAAAGGGGGATCATGGCTACATCTTTTTCATGCCACAGATACTAATGGGTGGTGTGGCATTAAAAATGAATTAGACTTTGCTCTGTCTCCTTGTTCAGAGATACGTGTGCGCGCGCAATGTACACATGCACTCACACATCTCAACCTGTGTGAAACAAGGCTTAGGAACAGCTGACTGGCAACTAGTGTCTGTTTTTATAGTTCAAGATGAATGTGTTTACTTAGTAGTTGATATTGTGAAAAGCAGTATGAAGAGGACTGAGGAGTGGATTTGATGCATCCCTTCATATTAATTTTTTTTAATGGAATTGCTCCAATGGAAACATATAATTGGAAAATTTTAGCTGGGACATATAGTACATGGAACTTGCATGCGAATGTATCAAGCCAAATCTGGTCTCACAGTTTCACATACATTCTACATTAATTCAGTGGTTTTTACAACAACTTTAGTGGATATATACCACTAGAACTGAATAGACCTAGATATACTAAAGGCACCAGATCCCATCTGATACTGGAAGCTAAGCAGGGTCAGCCCAGGTTAGTATTTGGATGGGAGACTGCCAATGAATGCCAGTTGTTGTAGGCTATATTTCAGAGGAAGGAGCTGGCAAAAGGACCTCAAGTGTATTCCTTGCCTTAGAAAACACCATAAAGTTCATGAGGTTGCCATAAGTTGACAGGCGACTTGAAGGCACATATACATACACCCCATCAGAACTACTGTATATACTTCTGTATAAGTTGAGCTCATGTATAAATCGAGGGCACACTTTGGGACCAAAATTAGGGATTTTGCTATGTCCTGTGGATAAATTGAGGATAAAACTTAGAAACATATATCAGAAATCTTTCCCTGTCATTTTAAAAATGCACATAGAGTGGTATATGCATTTCTAGAAAGAGCTAAAGGGGGGCTGCAATTGGGGGGGAGGGTTAAATGGCATTGCTTATTTTAAAATTTCTTATCTATACAAGTTGTTGTTGTGTGCCTTCAAGTAATTTCCAGCTGATGGCAACTCTAATGCAAACTTATCATTGGGTTTTCTTGGCAAGATTTGTTCAGAGGAAGTTTGCCATTGCCTTCCCTTGAGGCTAAAAGAGAGTGACTTGCCCAGTGGATTTCATGGCCAAGCTGGGAATCGAACCCTGGTCTCCAGAGTTGTGTTCCAGTTCTCAAACCACTATGCCACACTAGCTCTCATCTGTACAAATACAAAAAGGAAAGGAATATAAATGAGAAAAAATGATGAGAATGCAGCCTGAATAAAAGGAAGGGGAGAGAAGAACAAGAAAGGCAACCTCTATTAGGAACCCAGCACAGTGATAAGAGGTATAGGAGAGAAACTCCTCTTGGCATGGAAGCAGCACTCCTACCCCATGACCCCTCTCTTGTCCAAATGGAAGAAAGAAAGACAGCCTTCCCTCCTTCCTCACCTTCTTATTCAGCCTCAGCAGGTTCAACAGCAATGTAGGAGAGCCCAAAGAGAGATTGTTGTGGCCAATTTTAATAGAGGCATACTGTATAAGCCGCTCTGACTCTTGGCTTTATAAAGTATACAGTCTAGCTGTAGACAGGCTTTGAGTTCCTCCATGTTACTGCTGAACCCACTGGGGCTGAGGGAAGGAGGGAGAGCTGCCTTTCTCTGGTTTGGGCAAGGGATGGGTAGTGGGGTGGGAATATTGCTTCCACACTAAAAGGGGCTTCTCACCTCTGTCTCTTGTTACCGCTTCACTCTGGGTCCCTATTCCAGCGTTGACCTGTGTATATATTGACCCAAGTTTTTAGGGTCATTTTTGTGGGGGGTGGGATCAACTTATATACAAGTATATACAGTATGCCATGTCTAATGCTGAGTTTAGTGGATAGTTTCTAGTTTCTGTTTATCTTTATATCATTTTAATATTCTACTCTTAAATACCTACACTTGATTCTTCTTTTCCTTAGAAACTAAAATGAATATTGTTTCAGTGTCCCTTCCCTCCTTTTTCTCTTGCTGCATTCTTAGTTCTTGAGGCTTTTAAAGGTTGCATATCCTTTAGAGATATATTCTTCTCATATAGGCATATACCACTACCACTCTCAAAGCATCCACCAGTAGTTCATAATGTTTTTAAGACTGTATGTTCTTTTAAAGATCTTGTAGTCCACATCTTTATGATGATTTGCCTAAATTCAAATGATTTGCCCCAAAAATCCTCTCTATAATTCTTCCTGTATTACTTTTCCACAGGTACAATGGCTCGCTGCCAAATGGAGACAGAGGAAGAAGAAAAAGCCGGTTTGCTTTATTTAAAAGGCCCAAAGCAAATGGGGTGAAACCAAGCACTGTGCATATTGCCTGTACACCTCAGGCAGCAAAGGTAAGCTTGATTTAATGAATTATATCACTAAGTACATGACCTTGTTTCTTTATATACCAAGTGTAAGTTAGGAGCAGACTCACTGAATGATTGCACAGCAAAGCCACTTACTCTGAAAGGCTAGTCTTGCCCTAAGGGGAGACTTGGTTATTTATTTATTTATTTATTTATTTATTTTAAAATTAGGCCATTTTTTGGGTCACTTGCAGACCACCCGCATACTATTATAACTCCTTGAGTGCTGCTCATACACTAATGAAATGGGGTAATTTGTAAAAATGTGTATATTGGTTATTCAACCTTATCCTTGCAACAATCCTATTAAGGTAGATTAGGCCGAGAGAGGGGGATTCACTAGCCAAACATAACTCATGACTGAACAGTGATTTGAACTAGCCAAAGTCACCTCTTCATCTTGGCTGGATGTAAGAACCTTAAGAACATTCTTTAAGTAGCATTTCTAATACTGCTTTCAACATTATTTCAACCTTATTGGCTGTCTGAATGGCATTGTATGGAATGGAGTGATGCTGCCTAGGTGTGTCTTCAGTACTGGGAGAACACAATTTAAGACTAATTAGATATACAGTGGGAACTAGGTATCTGTGGGGGATCCATTCTGGACTCACCACCACCACGGATACCCAAAACCACAGGACCTCAATTCCTGTTGTCCGTAATGGCGGTGTGGCCACGTGCACACACCACCACTGAGGACAATAGGGAACGTTCCTTATGGCGGTGCATACATGCAGCCTGCTGCCATTGGGGATAACCATGCCTTTGCTCATGTCAGCTCACGCCAGCCAAGTGAGGAGTGCCTGGGGAAGGGGGCATAGGGCATCTGGTACAGCAGTGGGCACAGCTGGGAGATGCCAAGGTGGGTTCCACCCGCTCTGTGGGGCACAGGGCAGGGAGGCAGCCCTGCAACCGGGTCAGCTGAGAGCCCCGTAGCAGTGCAGCCTCTGAGGGTGCTAAGGGCACCCCACACCCCTCTCCCAGCAGGCATCCTCACCTGCCCACCCACCCACACACCTCTCCTGGCGGGCATGCTTGCCCGCATCTTCCAATGCCCAGCAAAGCCTCCCTCAGGGCAGTGGGCGCCTGCCTGTCTGGTCCTGCCCTGCCTGCTGATCCTGGTCCTCCTCTTCTCATAAATGCAATCACAAATACGGTCCCAATGGCAGCGTAACAGGGACAACCAGGGCTGTCCCTAATGGCAGTGCAGCCACATTGCTATCCGCAGCTGCTGGAGTCCGCAGATAAGGAAGGCCCACTGTATAACTCAGTTAATGAAGTAGATGTATTCCCAGGCATGACTTGTTCAACAGAAAATTTGTTTCTAGAAGCAGAAATAGTATGGAAGGAGGAGGGATAGGTTGCTATACCACAAAGAAGGAGGGCAATTCAACATGTTTGAGCAAACTGTTTATCCAGAACTGAAAGTATGCACATATGAAATCAAATAACCAGGTCAGGTAAGCCTTGAGAAAAAGAACAAAGAAAACCTGCTAGAGACCATTTAAAGTCTTCTTCCACAGTGCATCCAGCAATAACATTTTATTTCACCTGCCTTCATTTTTCTTGTGATTTCCATTTTGATAGTCTAATATATAGAAATGTGCTGCTATTTGGTGAGGCAATCTTACCATATATACTCATCTATAAGTCAAAAAATTTATACTACAAAAGTGACCCAGAAACATGGGTCGACTTAGAGACGAGTCAATACAGGAAGTGTTGAGGGAGCTTTTGCTTCCCAAGCCTCTTCCCAGCCCGGCTGCCTTGCTAGGAGGATGCAAAGAGAGCAAATGGTCCCTCTTGCAGCCTCTTCTTAGTGCAGTTGCCTCTAGTGGGGGCAGCAGGGCTGGGAGGATGCAAGGAAAGCGAGTTCATTCTCCCAGCCTCTTCCCAACTTGGTTGCCTCTGGAGGAGGAGGCAACCAGGCTGGAAAGACACAAGGAGAGCGAGCGTTCATTCTCCCAGTGTCTTTCCAGCCCAGTTGCTTCCAGAGGGGGCAGCCAGGCTGGGAAGATGCAAGGAGAGTGAGTGTTTGTTCTCCTAGCCTCTTCCCAGCCCAGCTGCCTCCGGAGGGGGCAGCCAGGCTGGGAGGATGCAGAAGGAGGGTATCCCACACTCCTCTCCCAGTTTACCCTCAACTTATCCACAGGGCATATTAAAATTTTGGGCCCAAAACCTACCCTCAGCCTAGACACGAGGTCAACCTATAGACAAGTATATACCGTATCTGCCCTTTTCCTTTCAATTTTGCTGTTCAGGCATGTTCAGTAAGTCTTCTGGAAGCAGCTGCTGTTTACCATGCCTGTTGTAGCCAAGAACACATAGCTACAGCAGGACTGGCTAGAGTAGAATCCCATTCTTTTCCATTGATTCTTGACCACAAACATTGATTCTTGACCACAACCGACACACTACTGCAATATACCCCTAAAAGTCTGTTTTTCCAGACCGCTTTCAGTATCTTTCCTGTGCCAATGCTGCTAAAAACTTTGATCTAGATAGAGAACAAATAGCAAAAGTAAGTCTGTACAAAAAAAAAAGACTTTATAAAAAGGAGCTTCTTTGTTAGATCTATGTTAATTGAGGTGTGCCTATGATCTGTTTATCGCTTCCAGACTGATAAAGCATTTTCCTAGTCTGGAAAGAGTTGAGATGTTTCAGTTATATACTTTCCTCAAACATACTGGTCATTAAAAAAAATACAGGCATTTTAAGAATTTTCTTTTTCTCTCCGCATTGTTTTGTTAGTGGTGGTGTGGTATGAGCGTAGGAGTGAAACTATGGAGAGCAGGGTTTGAATACCCACTCAGCTATGAAAACCCACTGGGTGACCTTGGGCAAGTCACACTCTCTCAACATCAAAGGAAGATGAAGGCAAACCCTGTCTGAACAAATCTTGCCAAGAAAATTCTGTGATAGGGTCACCTTAGGGTCATCATAAGCTGGAAATGACTTGAATGCACACATCAACAAACTGTATAGTTTCCAATTGTTGCCTGACCCCACTTTTCCCCCATCCTACCATGTATGAAAATCATACAGTTCATGCTTAGGCATGACTTATTTATTGATAGATCAATTTTATTTTTGAAAGTATTTGTTTATTGCTTCTTAACGCACAATGACCTTTGAGGTGATGCTTTAAAAAATCATGCACATCATTTCTCAGCAGCTTACTACAGCCATCAAGCCACAAGTTGGAACTCACACAAATGTATTGCTCACTTAACTGACAACAGGAAATTGTCTCGCAAGACAAATTACCACCATTTCTACCTAACCTAGCTGGTTAATATATTTAGTGGTAGCTGTGCTGGCCATACAGCAAAATAAAACAGATTACAAAATCCACAACAGAGATACCTTTACTGGCCAGCCAGACTACACCCAAACACGTCATGCAAGTTTTCAAAGCTTCACTGGCTTCTCCATCAAGCAAAAGATAAGTAAAAAGTTATGGGGGAGGGAGTGACAGTGTTGGAGTCACAGGCCTACATTTCATATCAGATGTTGTATCAGAATCATAGAGATGGAAAAGACCACAGGGCTATCTAGTGCAATCCCCTGCCATGCAAGAATACACAGTGCTTTGGTTGTTCCTGCACAGCAGGGGGTTGGACTGGATGGCCCTTGTGCCCTCTTCCAACCCCATGACTTTATGACAATCAGAGCACCCCGAGAGATGGTCATCCAGCCTCTGCTTAAAAACCTCCAAAGGAGTCTCCACCACCCTCCAAGTGAATGTGTTCCACTGTCAAACAGCCCTTACTCTCAGGAAATGCCTCCTAATGTTTAGGTGGAATCTCTTTTCTTGTCGTTTGAATCCATCACTCCATGTCCCAGTCTTTTGAGCAGCAGAAAACAAGCTTACTGCTTCATCCATATGACATTCTTTCAGATATTTAAACATGGCTATCATGTCACCTCTTAACCTTCTCTTCTCCAGGCTAAGCATACCTGTTGTAGTTGGGAGGATCTCAATGCAGGCATGTGGAGACTGAGTCAAAGGACAATATAAATTTCATTGGCAGCAGTAAAGTACCTTCTGTTGGGATCCAGGGTGTCTTTTGTGAAGCCACAAGCAAGGGTTTCACAGGGCCCAACACAGGAAAGGAGTGGCCTCTGCCTGCATTGAGATCCCTCTGAACCAACTGAACTACAACAGAGACAACAACTGATACAAAATGTAGGCCTGTGACCCCAATACAATCACTTTTTTCCTCTCCTTTGTGGTTTTTAAACATCTTTTGCCTGATGAAGAAGTCAGTAGAGCTTCAAAAGCTTGTGTTATGTGTTTTGTGCATTTGGGTTGGCCAATAAAGGTATCGTTTTTCTGTGAGTTTCAGATTTTGTTTTATTTAGCTGGCAAATAGTAAGCATAATCTACTTTGCTAGCTCTTTCTCATCCTTCACTGCTTTGGGTGGCAGTCTTTCCACAAGTATGTAAGGTGGCACAGCACCC